CCAGGGCGGCAGCACAGCTGGCAACGGCAGCGCGGGGGGCACGCGCACAGCCAGGGCGAGCGGGGAAGACGAGGTAGGGGCAGCAGTGCCAGCGCACGCATCACAGCCGTAGGCAGGTGGCGCTTGGTCCAAGTGGGGGCAGGGTGAAGGCTCCAGGCGACGAGGCTGCAGGAAGGTAGAGACGGGAGCACAGCGCCATGGCGCGGGCTCACAAGCCAAAGTGCCAGCCAGGCGCCACCCTGCACGCACCGCGGGCCAGTAGGCGCAGGGGCATGGCTGACGGGGCGCGCTGGCACGCGTTGGCGACGCGTGCGCCGAAGGGTGCCTGGGCGGCGGCGGCTTACCTGCAGTTGGAAGTAAGCGACATACCCAAGCGGAGTGCAAAAGAGGCACCGAACAGGTGCACGAGCAGGTGGGCCAGCAGCGTCCCCGAACAAAGGCGGAGCTTCAAAGGAGGCGAGCGCACCACCAACTGGAGTGGGTGACGAGCCCAAGTTGAAAAGGAGAGGCGCGCCACCTGGGATAGGTGGTGCGCCCCGAAGAGGGAAGGAAGGAGGGCACCTAACTGGTGCACAAGCAGGTTTGTGGTTAGCGAAGGGCCACATCCAAAGCGGATGGCCCGCGGCGGAAAGGAGGCGCACTACCTGGGTTCGATGGCGCGCGGGGGGGAAAGGAAGGGCGCGCGCCACCTGGGATGGATGGCGGGCCCCGGAGAAAAGCACCTAACTGGTGCACAAGCAGGTAGATTAAAAGCAAAGCACCTCATGGGATGGAAGGCGCCGCGCCCTGCCCTCGAACCGCGGCAATCGGTCCGCTTCCGCGCCATTCCCGAGGAAAGGGAGCGCCGTCGCTCTCTGCGAGGGCAAATCAAGCCTGCAATTAGAGCCCACGCATGTGGGACAGGTCGCCGGCGGGCCACGTTGCCGCGCAGGGCGCTTACCTTCTTGGCCTTTCCCGCCAGTTGCCTGGGACTGGCGATCCTGCTGTTGCTGCCCGACGTCGTCCCAATCAACGTCCAGGCTGCGATGGAGACAGACGGCGCAAATGTCGTACTGGGACTCGGCAAGGTCGTCCAGGAATTCACGGCAGAAGGTGTCGAAGCCGCTGGGGTCGCACAGTCCCCCCGGCCCTTTCCAGTCCTCTGGTCGCATGTCCTGTTCCACCCTTCGACAAAGAGCGCGCCGCAGGTGCCTTTGAGAGGACTGATGGTCTCTGGCCAGGTCTCGTTCCTGCTGTCTCTCTCTCTCTCTCGCCACCAACGGGCTCCATTGGACGTCGCGTCGGGGAATTTTGTACAGTCGGTCATACGGGTCGTCCCGATCTCTCCGATGAATAGCGTCCCCTCTCATGCTGCGGGTCTTCCAGTTGCGCCCGCTGCGCCACTGGCTGGCCCTGCCCCAGGAGCCCCATCGTGTGGTGCCTGCGCTGCTGCTGGACCATCTGGACCCCGCGTGGGTCTGGTACCGAGGCTTCCAGCGGGGCTCTGCATCAGGGGTCGCGCCATCCTCGGCAGCATCGGCATCCCTGGCACCTTGTTCTGCCCTGCCCGTCCCCCGAAGAAACCGGCCGGATCGTCCACCCCTTGTAATACAGGCCAGGCGCACGCTGCCTGACCCGTTTCAAATCATCAGCCACTGGGTACCGATTCGAACGCACATGTGGAAACCCAACTGCGCCTGCTCGACCAGCCCCGCTACCGCCCCCCTGGGGAGGTCTGGCCGGAGCCGCCTACCCGACTACCCGACCCATCAGCTTGTGCGTACCAGCAGGCAGGGCGGGCACTTCCATCCCTGGCCATGAGGTAGTCTTCCAAACGAACGTTGGGTGCAGGGCCTTCATGCTGCTGAGAGACTGCCAGCCTGATCCCCCGGACGCAGCGATTTCGGAGGGCCAGATCAGGGCTGGCCTCGGCTTCTGAGCTCGGGTCGTCCGCGGGGGTTGGCGAGCCAGGTGTTGAGGGGTACGGCGCGCCCCCTGTCTTTCTCGCTGGGGATCCAGTCCGGGGTGGCGCTGCCCCTGCGCTTGACCGCCACGGCCTGGGAATCTGGGCTGGGCGCGGCAGCTACGCCAGCCCGCCCGGGTACAGCTGCGTTATGATCGTCACTCGCGTCGGGCAGTGACCCAGTGAGGTGGACCGCTAGGCTGCGCTTGGGCGCTCTTCTGGTGGGCCAGGTTCCGCTGTCCCGCGTGCTGGCAGGCTGTTGCCACTATCTGCGTTGGCGCTCTGGGGACCTCCTGCTGCACTGGGTGCACCCGTTGGGTTCCCTGCTGCATTTCCTGCCGGGGCGACTGGTTTGCGGAAGTGGCTGAGTTTGGAGGAATCCGTGCTGCAAATGCCCTGAGTGGCCAGACATACTGCAGGGCGCACACACGCTCGCGCAGAGAAACGAGGATTGCAAAGGTCAGAATCCAATTTCGCTTCACCTTCATGAACCCGAATTGTAATCGTCTTCGAGGATTCCCCGTGGTGGCCCCTGGCAGCAGTCGTTCGCGTGCTTGAGCTGCCCAGCTCCGCTTTGTGAGCGGGGGCAACCGCCCACCGCTCAAGTGCAGCAGTCCGCGCGCAGGGGCTGCAGGCCAGAGAGCGCAACCGGGCACAGCGCCGTCCCCTCTGTAGGAAAAGCCCCCGCTGAGCTGCGTCAGGCCGAACCAACCAACATCGAATCGGAATACGCGTCAGATCGGGTCGTCGTCGTCGTGGTCGTCGTCGTCGTCATGGTCGTCGTCGTCGTCATCCTCGTCGTCGTCATCGTCGTGGTCGTCGTCGTCGTGGTCGTCGTCGTCGTCGTCCTTCAGGGTCGGCGGCACTGGACGCAAGGCCTTCGCAATCGAAATTCGCTTCGGATCAGGCCACATCGGCACGGAAACTGAATCGAAATCGGATCTGTCGCGCCAGAATGCACAACAGCGCCACGCAGGCACTGGGTCGCATCGTATCGTCGAGATATCGGCCTCATCCTCTTCTTCCTCCTCCTCCTCCTCCTCCTCCTCCTCCTCCTCCTCCTCCTCCTCCCCCTCCTCCTCCTCCTCCCCCTCCTCCTCCCTCCTCCTCCTCCTCCTCCTCCTCCTCCTGCTCCTCCTCCTCCTCCTCCTCTCCCTCATGCTCCTCCTGCAACTCCTGCAACTCCTGCAACTCCTGCAACTGGGCGGGCTGGGAGCTTCGCCCGAGACTTCCTCTCCGTTAACGACCCCGAAGCTTGAGAATTCCCATAGCACCACGCATGCAAGGGAGGTAGTTCTCAAGATGTGGATCTCGCCTTACCACCGCGCACACTCATCTTCAATGTCTCCCGCCGTTACACGGCTGGAGGGCAATTCCTTTGTAAAAAAATCTGACTCTCGTTTTAGCACCACGCACATGCGTCTGAAGAGCTTTCAACCGATACACAGATGGAGCTATCCGCTGGCCTCCTTGGGGACCAATTGGCTGCGAGACGGAGGTGCTCCTGCCACCTGGAACAGCTCCAAATCCGAAGACGTAGCTTCTGACTTCTGGTTCGAGTGTTGGGAACTGTTGATGAGCGCGCAAGGGCTACGACCCGAAAACCACCCCCGTGACGCGCTGGAATCACGTCCTTGGAACGCATGGTGGTGCCCTGGGACACGCAAAAATACAACAGGCTCGCGCTCCCCAGGCCAAGAACAAGCGCGTTTCAATTACGACCACGGCGCGCTCTCGAGGCCACAGGCCCCTCGCCAACCACAACAAGCTCGCGGTCCCCAGGCCACCATGCCCAGGAAACAATCAGAGAGTCGCGCTCCCGAGGCCACAGCTCGCTATAAACCACAACTAGCTCGAGCTCTCCAGGTTACAGTCCCTCGAACATGGCGCGACAGATTCACGCTCCCGAAGCCACAATCCCCCGTAGACTACGGCGCGCTGGCGCTCCGGCAGCCGCAACCCTTGGCACATCAGAAACGAGCTCGCGCTCCCGATGCCACAATCCCTTCTGCAAGCAGGTTCGTCGCACTCGCGCTCCCGAGGCCACCTTGCACTTGCATGTTACGACGCAGTCGCGCTCCCCAGGCCACAATCCTTCCTGTAAGTCACGACACATTCATGACCCCGAGGCTACAACTCTTCATAAGCAGAACAAGCTCGCGCTGCCAAGGCACGAACCCACCCCACGGAGGCTGCCCGAAAGCGCCATCCTCCCCAGGAAAAAAAACACCGAAATTCTGTCACTTGTGACATGTGCTCCAGGGGCGCGTTGCGGCTTCCCCACCGGTTCCTCAAAATTCGGCGCTGGACCCGAAGCCAACGATCCTCGGAAATAGCCAGGGGCGCGCGCTCCAGAGGCCACAAATCCTTGGCGATTACAGCAGGAGCGCCGCAACCCACCAGCCAGAACCAACGGCCAACAGTCCATTTAGGCAACAGGCCAACCAGCCGAGTTGCCAGCCAGCCAACCGACAAGCCGAAAAACTAACCAACCGAACAAGCGTACACTTCCTGCAGTGACAAGCGGTTCTTGTAGAGTTTATGAGGCGGGTACCTGAGACGGCTGGGCGTAATGCAGCATCATCGGTGCATCTTGCCTTTACTCTGGTCCTTCTCCTTCTCCTCCTCCTCCTTCTCCTCCTTCTCCTCCTCCCCCCTCGAAACTCGAGTCCAGAACCTCGCCGGGGGCGCTCTGACCAGAGTTATGACGAAAGTTCAGCCGCCGCGACCACAAGCCTCGCAGAGCTCCTAAAGAAGCAAACAGCAACCAGAAGCTGCGATCCTCGACGAGGACAAGACGACGACGACGACGACGACGACGACGACGACGACGACGACGACGACGACGACGACTTCGGCGACGTCAACGATGTCATTGACGACGACCCTGGCGACGACGACGACGACGACGACACCGCCGCGAGGACTGCGACGGGCGGCGGCGGATCAGCAGCGGAGACGAGACGACGCCGACAGAGATGACGCAGGCGGCGGCCGACCCCGACGTCGACGTCGACGTCCACGACGACGGCAGCCCCTGGCAAAGGGGGCTCCGATCCTCCCGGGCGTCGCCACGACGATGTCGGGCTGCTGCCGCAGCGAGCCGCTCTGGTCCTGCGGCGGCGGCGACGACGACGCCGGCGACGACGGCGACGACGACGACGACGACGACGACGGCGACGACGACGACCAGGACGGCGAAGACGACGAAGACGAGGGCGAGGACTAGATAAGACGACGGGAACCGACGACGAAGATGACAACGACGGCGGCGGCCCCGACGACGACGACGACCGACGACCGCCGACGACGACGACGACGCCGGCGACGACGGCGACGGCGACATGGGTCATCTGGAGGCCTTCGTCCATCCAGAGGCCTTCAAGGCCATACGTCCAAACACAACCACCGAAGTCCTGGGGGATCTCTGATGACCTCTGGAGGCTTCCAGAGGCCCGCGACGGTGACGACGACGACGACGACGACGACGACGGCGACGACGACGGCGACAAGGACGCGGACGACGACGACAGCGAGGAGGAGGAGGAAGAGGAGGACGAGGAAGGAGGAAGAGGAAGAGAAGGAAGAGGAGCCCCAGGATATGACTGGAAGATTTGCGCCCATGAGCCGCGGACACGACGTCGGGCGGCCTCAAGACCAAGTGCACGAGCCAGCTCACCAACAGACCTTTACACGCCTGCTGGTTCCACTCGCCTCGACGGCGAAGCTGCAAGCAAGACCTCGTCGACGCACGACTCAAAGGTAGAGTGCACCCTTGCAGTACTGATCCAACTGGAGGATCAACCAGTCAAGCCGTACCAGAACGACACATAGCATGTATGCGAAGGAGGAGACATGGAACGGAGGGAAGGAGGGAGAGGATGCACAGGAGGACGGGGGAGGAGGAGGAGGAGAGAGGGAGAATACAGAGAGGAGCCAGGGGAGGTAGAGGAGGAGGAGGAGGAGGAGGAGGGGAAGAAAGAGGAGAGGGAGGGAAGGCAGAAGGCAGGAGGAGGAGGGCAAGGACTGGGCAGGACCTCCACTGCCCTGTGCAGCAGGCCGCCGCGACGGGGCGGGAGGGTCCACGAAGCCACCGGCGACCAGCTGGGAGGTCACCATGGTGTACCTCCCGTGGCTGGTTGCTCTCTCGTGCCCTCCCCACGAGCGACGCCCTTCGATGGTGCAACTCCCCTGGGTGAGCCCTCGTGGGGGCCTCTGTGGACCTCCGCGGCCGCATCACAGAAGTGATTTCGACCGGATTTGTCGTCCAGATTCCGACCACCCCTCTTCACCATTTCGTCCAGATGGTGTCCAGACCTCGCCCAGATTTTCCAAACGAAATCCTGACGACATCCCCAAAACAGACAAGAATTCGCGGACCCTCTACGGACCACACAAGCTCCAATGGTCGGTTGCTCTCTCGTGCGTTCCAGAGGAGCGAAGCCCTGCAGTATACGCACAGATGTGTAGCAAACGCCCAGGACTCTTCAGCAAACGCCACTGATGGGGATCGGGGTGGTTTTTGACTGGTGGAAGGCTCACGGTAACCTAACTTCGCGGGTCCCGCCCCGCGATGCGCGACGCGCGGTTATCGTTGCGTTTTTTGCAGCCGACCTAGACAACCGAAGCGGGGTCGGAATCGGAAAACGAGGCGAGGGAGGAGGAGCCAAGAATGCAAACCGAATGTGGAGACGAACGAAATATAAACCGCAAGAACGACTGGGTAACAAACGGGTTCTGATCAAATAAGCAGCGCAACAAAGCCAGGACTCGATCCTAGCAGGTCAAGTTGTACAATGCAGTCGTTCAAACGTAACAAGTACAGCAGAAAGCGACGATGATATGGGCACAATCGTTCAGGGGCCTCCTAACACGAGATACACTATTTCAATATGCCGCAGAACACCGAGGCATGCAATATGCTTGACATCTTCAATACTGTAGGTAGCAAACCGCATAGACGAGCAATTCGATCTCAATTGATCCAAAGCTCTTGTCCCTGGCAAAACGACTCGCGACAAGAACCCGGATAATGATTGAAGTAACACTCCGTGACAGGTGCCAACGCGTGTCGCGCCTCGCATATGCATGTAGATATTGCCCCCACCCGGGTTCAGTCATCTGCGCGATTCTCCTGAGTTCCAGCTTTGATCACTTTGATGTCACGTCGTCTCGCCTTCTCTTAGAAACAAAGCCCTTGAGGCACGCGCCCAACGTTGCCAGACTTGTCCCAGCCCCTCGAGTTAGGGCCGACGCAGAACGCGCAAGCTCCCAGACTAAGAACTGCATATCCAAACGGACTGGCACTAGATAGTTCGCCCTGGCCACTACAGCATGGCATGTCTCAGTCCCGCGACTTGGCAGGAACCCCTCGCCATCTCACACCGCGCCCCGCGCTGCTCGCCCGTCGCCCTCGCAAGATGGCCTTTCACCCGTCGTCTCACACCACGCCGCGCGCTGTTCCAGGACTAACTTCTGGACGAATATCTCAGCACGCAGGTCCACATCTGCCCCAAATTAAAGCTCCGAGTGTACGTTGGTTCCGTCTGTGCAGCAGTCCGTGTCCAAATCAGACCCAACACAAACGCATCGCCCCCGTGAACCGTTTGCAAGACGCGCCTTGCATTGCGTTTAAGCGCGCATGGCGGTGCCCCCCCGTCGTCGAAGCCAACGCCGCGCGCGAAGTCCACGCAACAATCTTCCCGGTTGCTGGAAGAGCCAATGGCACCGCGCATTGTCTCCACAGTCTCCCACGCACACCTTGAGCTCGATATTCTCCTGGCAAGCTGATGAAGACATCTTCTTGGCCTCGGAATAAGAAATGCGAACCCAAATAATGTATGAGCCCAAATTGGAGCCCTTCTTCACGCCCCCCTCGTTCGTGCCACATTCCCTCCGCAACTGCCATGGAAAACAGCAGCTTTTGCGCTTGCAGTGGGAGCTCTGCTGGCGACAGTCCAGCGCTCCTCCTCCTGAACTGCTCCACCTCCTCCTCCTTCTGGGCCTTTAGCGCGAGTTCTGGATCGAGCTCGCATCCCGACGCGTCGCCCTGGGCAGCACCCTTCCATCCTCGCGATGAACTACGCACATGGCCCCCCTGGTAACTGGGCACACTTCTGCAAACCATTCACCCGCATCGCGGGCCCCTGGAGTTCCTAACCACCTCTGGTGTTAACACACTCCCGAAACCCTCGGATGAGGCCACATGTCCTATGCAACTTTGACAATATCGCGGGCACCCCCCAAACCCCCCTCCACCCCCCCTTGATCTCGCGAACCCCCTCTGCCCTCAAGAATCTGGCCGGCGCCCACATCGCGAGGCGGGCATGACCTCCACAATGGGCCTGCACTTCCTGGGAGCACACGGCGAGAAGTGCCAGAATCTTTTCTGGTTCTGGCCAACGCAGGCAAATCTCCCATTTCGCTTTAAACGCACATAACCTCTCGAGTTCCATCCCATCGCCTGGCTCACTATAAACAGTTTCTGGGTCACACGACCTGAAGGAGCACCCTAATCGTTCGTGAACCTTCATTTGGTTAACCAACCCGCTTAGTATAGCTCAGCACAATCGACCCCGGTAAACTTCTGATCTATTCGTTCGGCCTCCTCCAGTTGACTCAACGTGTCGATGCTGCCTTGACGCTCCATGCTGAGGACCCTACCAATGTGGGGCCTGTTGATCACGGACCTGCTGGGTTTCTGCATAACAACTTCCTCGACTGTTACAGTTTGCTCCAGATCATAACAACATCGATATCCGTCACATGTCTGCACTCCTTCATACTGTTGCATCTGCAATGGCGTCGTGGTCCAGCCCGAGCCCCCTGCGGGATGCTCAAAGAGAAAATATAACCCATTGTTCCGTTGCATCTCACACAGTTCTAACGCGGACTTGAAGCGCTTCATCCCGTAGCCAAGCACTTCCCTTATATTTTTGGCCCGAGTCTTCTCGAAGTGAAAGGTTGCCACCACGCGAAAGCCGCACAAACTGGGCACACGATTAACAGTAGGGCGGCCTTACTCTTGATCATCTCCTTGGCTCTGCACGCATTGCTCCACGATTAACACCCCATGGGTTCCCGCATTTATCGCGCGTAGTTGGGCCCACCACTAACCCCATCACAAGCCCCATTTTCACCGCTACGCCGGCAAACCGCACTGGCAAATGAGCCTCGGAAACGCGTTACTGCACTTTGCGTTGGCCGTTGCCGTAAAACCTCAAAGATCTCCTGACTTCAAAGACCTGCTAGATAACATCAAGATTGGCGACGAGTAACCACACCACTACACCAGAGTCAAGCCCCTCCACGGTTAACTCGGCGCGTACCTCATCGGCGTTCACGCAGTCCTGTTCTTCGACTACATGCTCAGCAGGTTTGCTGTCTCCGATGTTTTCGACATCAGGCATCTTACTTCCTCTGGCTCCCGCATCCTTTGGCTGCATATCCTTGTCCTCAAAATGGGACGGGGCCGCCATGCGAACCCTGCCACTGGGGCCTTCGGTGGAGCTCCTTATGGGGACACGAACCGTGTGAGGGGTGCGCCAAAATGGGGCGGGGCCGCCATGCGAACCCTACCACTGGGGCTTTCGGTAGAGCTCCCTACGGGGCCACGAACTGTGTGAGGGATGCGCCACACTGGGGCGTGGCCGCCACGCGAACCCTGCCACTGTAGCCTTCGGCGGAGCTCCCTATGAGGCCACGAACCGCGTGAGGGGTGCGCCAAAATGGGGCGGGGCCGCCATGCGAACCCTGCCACTGGAGCCTTCGGTGGAGCTCCCTATGGGGCCACGAACCGTGTGAAAGATGCGCCAAAATGGGGCGGGCCGCCATGCGAACCCGGCCACTGGGGCCTTCGGTGGAGCTCCCTATGGGGCCACGAACCATGTGAAGGGCCAAAATAGCGCGGGGGCGCCATGCGAACCCTGCCGTGGGGGCCTTCGGTGGAGCTCCCTATGGGGCCACGAACCGTGTGAGGGGTGCGCCAAAATGCGGGGCCGCCATGCGATCCCTGCCACTGGCGCCTTCGGTGGAGCTCCTTATGGGGCCACGAACCGTATGAGGGGTGCGCCAAAATGCGGGGCCGCCATGCGATCCCTGCCACTTTAGCCTTCGGTGGAGCTACCTATGAGGCCACGAACCGTGTGACGGGTGCGCCAAAATGCGGGGCCGCCATGCGAACCCTGCCACTGGCGCCTTCGGTGGAGCTGCCTATTGGGCCACGAACCGTGTGAGGGATGCGCCAAAATGCACGGCCACCATGCGATCCCTGCCAGTCTAACCTTCGGTGGAACTCCCTATGAAGCCACGAACCGTGTGGGGTGCGCCAAAATGGGACGGGGCCGCCATGCGAACCCTGCCACTGGCGCCTTCAGTGGAGCTCCCTATGGGGCCACGAAAAGCTGTAATGGGTGGACGAAACACAAGGAGGACGGAGGAGGGGGAGGAGGGAGGAGGGGGAGGAGGAAGGAGTGAGGAACGCGACGCGCGGTCTCGTCAAATCGAGGACCCAACACCACAAGACGGTTGGGAAAAATTGCAGGAGATTCACGGATTGAGGGCGGTTCCTTTTCAAAATGCTGTTCCGCCTCTGAACGACGCGAACATTCGTTATACAAATTTGCAAGAGTCGTAAGAATCCCCATGATCAGCGTACCAGAAATGGTGTGTTGGAAAGATTCAAGCCCATGAGGGTGCACAGTGAATGTAAGTACGATGCGTTTTAGCGCAATGGCAAAAAGGGCCCCCTAGAGGTCAAATGGCAGCGAGAGGTGCATATACACACGCGACGCATGCACGATCTCACCCCCGTGAAACTTTATCACAAGCTAGCAGGCGGACCGCGCAGCACCGCTGGTCTCAGCAAGCCTCTAAGGGCAATAAAAGAGGCATTCCCATGTTGGGATCACTCAAGTCACAGGCAGCCAGGACTCAGTCACTCACTTGCCCGACGGGATCGTTCAAATCCTCGCCCTCGCCAGTTGTTTCTTGACCTTATTTAAGGCAGATTCAGGGCATGGGGTTACGGCACACGAACTTGTGCGTAATATCTTAACAAAGAAATATGTAGGCATATTCTTCGTCTGACAACCAACAACCATAATACTTGTATCGAACCACCGAATC